TACCATCAGCATCGCCATCACCATCACCATCGTCACCATTGTGGTCCGTAGGACTTGGCTCAAAATAATAATGTCGTCGTCCGCTGGGGCGGTTTCCCCGAACCCTCCAGCCTCGTCGTCCCTTTTTTTTTCGAGGGCAGCTTCGAGCCGGATCGATCTGCGAAGTTTGGGGGTCGTAAACATTGGGCAGCTTCGCCGAGCCATGCTTCTTCTTCGAGGGCAGCAGCTTCGCCGAGCCCGAGCCCGAGCCCTGCGGCCGCGTCGAGGGCAGCTTCGCCAAGCCGTGGCAACTGCAACAGCTCGGACGCAGAATCGGCCGCGGCAGCTGCAACAGCTGACGTGGCCGCTGCCGACGCAGCGGGTTCCGAAGAGGACAGCGGCTCCAACAGCGGCTCCGACAGCGGCTCCGAAGAGGACAGCGGCTCCAGCAGCGAGGCAGCCGCGGCTGCAAGAGCGAGGGCGAAGGCCGCCCCGAGCAAAGTAGTCGAGAAGTTCCCGCCTTCGTTGTCCATGACCCTGGAGGAGCACGTCGCCAGCCACGACTACCCAAAGCACGTCTCCACCTGCGGCGCTTGCAAATTTTGGAAGAACAAGGAGAACTGGAACGCCTCGATGTCTGCGACGAATCCAGTAACACTGAAGAGGGAAACTTGGATAGGCTGCGTTGGTGGTAGATTTGCAGTCTGTTTGTTCTGCTCGGCGTTCAAGGGCGCTCGCTGCATTTCCACCATAGGCCGGGGATCCGCGAGTTTCCAACGCAAGGAAAACCTCGTGCGCCATGCACAGTGCGAGGAGCACCAGGCAGCAGAAGCGGCGTGGAAAGAGCGGACTCGAGCGGAAGGTGCGCACCAGGGTCTCCCCGTGTCTCTGTTCTCCACAACGGCTGCATCAGCTGCAGCCGCTGCAACAGCCGTGGCGCCAGCGCCCGCCGTTGTCCGCAACGCCGACCAGCGCCCTGGTTGCCGCGCACTGGTCGCCACCCGTGCAACGTTGGAGACAACCAGTTCCTTCAGTAGTTTCGACGTGTGGCGGGATGCGTTCGTTGGGGGCGACCGCCAAGTTTTGGAGTCTAGTCGGCAGCGCCGAAGGCTGGTGACCACCGTGGCTCAGCACGAGAAGATCATCGCGCAGAGGATCCTCAGACATGGTGCTGTTTTTGCGTTTGGCTGCGGACGGCCTCGACCGCGCGTGCCAGGTCGAAATTGGCGCAGTGCTGTGGTCGATCCCGAAGGCTTTGGACTTCCTCCCAAGCCACGGTCTCAAGGCAAGCTGGCTGGAACAGCTGGGCCCCAGAGGGCCCTGGATCGTGGATCGGGTGATCGGGATGCGGGAGTTCCCGCGAGACATGGACTGCGACGGCAAGGCTTCCATGCTGGGGGAGTGCGTCCGTCGCGCGTGCCAGACGGCAGGCGGGGAGGTGGGCGGGGACTTGCACGAACATGTGCGACAGGAGACTCGGGCATGGTGCAGCGATGGGGCGGATCTAAGTGTACCCCTGGCTGCAACAACTACGTTCCCTGGGCTGGCGTTTCGCGCGTAGGACGAGTCTCGCTCGCCCCAGAAGGTTCTGGCCAATTCGATGAAAGGAGACAGCGAAATAACGATCACGGACGAGCTGCTGGTCGCGAGTAAGAAGCCGCCAAGTCTGGCCAAGTTCCTGACTACCTCCACCGTGTTCCGCAACACACTCGGGAAGCAGCAGCTGGTGGAAGACGGCGCTGCGTTCGCCAAAAACTTCGGCTGGGCCCCCCAGCGTTTCAACAGTCGGGCGAGGCCCTATGTACGGGAAAGTCGGCGTTCGGAAGTCATTTTCGAGTCGCTCGCAGCGGAGTCCCAGGGGAACGACAAAGAGCGGCGCGTTCCCGCCCGACATATTCTGGAAGGGCTCGGGGGCGAGAACAGTTCGCGCCTGCTCCTGGGGGGGTTGCTGGCCGACTTGAGCGCGGAGCGCTATTCCTGGGTCGCCACTGGAGACAAGAGCAACCCCGACGCTGCCAGCGTTCAATCCAAGGCCGCCGCTTTCCTCTCCAAGCTGGATACAATGTTCGTCAAGGGGAATATTCTGGCCATCCCCGACACGTTTACTGGCGCCACCCTCAAGTTTCTGAAGGCCACGAAGCGGTTCACGTGCGGCACTGGCATCCAGACCGTTGGTACCGGCGATTGGAGCACGGGGCCCCGAGCCCGCGAAGCCGTCCACGCGGCCCTTCGACGAGCGCAGGGGGTCGTGGCCAATGTGAAGGAGAACGTGAAGCTATATCGGCCAGAACATTATTGGTTGCACGCCTTTACAGCCTTCCGCTTGCCCCCCCCTGTCCCTGTCTGCAACAGCAGAGCACGCAACAGAAGCCGAGGCCTGTTTGAAGCGCATCTGCAAGGCGGCAGACCTCCCCGAGCAGAAGGCAATCTCCCAGCTGCGGCAAATGTTGCCCCGTGCCGAGGAGCATCATCATCGAAACGGGGGCACCGCGCGGCAGGCTTGGGGCCGCGCTGCGGTGGAGTGGCCCGAGCTCCACAGCGGCCGTCGCCTCG